TCCTTTTAGAACATTACATATTACTATGGGATAAATTACTATAAATGCAAAAAACATACACAAGTGAATCTGAAGACAAATTTGTAAGTTGTGGTTATTGAGATAGAAAAACCTTTTTTTTTTTTTTTGACAGGCAGAGTTAGAGAGAAAGAAACAGAGAGAAAGGTCCTCCCCTTACCGTTGGTTCACCCTCCAATGGCCGCTGCGGCCAGTGCACTGCGGCTGGCATACCACACCGATCCGAAGCCAGGAGCCAGGTGCTTCTCCTGGTCTCCCATGCAGATGCAGGGCCCAAGCACCTGGGCCATCCTCCACTGCACTCCCGGGCCACAGGGCCACAGCAGAGAGCTGGCCTGGAAGAGGGGCAGCCGGAACAGAATCTGGCGCCCCGACCGGGACCAGAACCTGGTGTACCAGCGCTGCAGGCAGAGGATTAGCCTGTTGAGCCGCGGCGCTGGCCGAGGTAGAAAAATCTTGACAGTAGTTTCAAAATGAAGAGTGAAATAGGTAGTGTCACAGAAAATAATTTGATGCTTTCATCATGCACATTGTCATATCATGTAACTTTAAAACATTTAAATAACCATCCCTTTGTTTTACTTGATGTACTCTGTTTTCCTAGTTTTCATCTCATTTTTCTTTTCTCCTGAATATACCGATTCAGGAGTTCTCCCTGTGGACCTAACTGTGGGTGGTCCTCAGAGCTGAGTCCCAACTCCCTAATCACTAATTCTTTTTTAAGTTTTACTTTGTGTAGAAAAAAAAAAAATGAGCTGAAAGCTGTATATGCTCCCAACTGAGGCCTTCCATGGAAAAGCTACCTACTTAGTCTGGCTGCCGGCACAGTACTGGGGGGTCTGCTGGAAACAAAACAGAAAATGTAGCCCCTTGGGACCACCCAAAGAGTGTGGCCACTGCACTACCTGCCTTATTGCTGAGTTTCACTTGTCATTGAAAAGTTTGAACAAGAGTGGTTCCTATTTGACTTTTCCTCCCAATGGAAAATATCAGACACCAGCTAAATAGGCAAAGCAAAAAAAAAAAAGAAAGAAAGAAAGAAAGCCTAGATTGATGGGAAGATAGTGAAGGAAGTAAGTCAATAAGGGAAATTCTAAAAAAAAAAAAAAAGGTGAAAAAAATGTCCAAACTAATAATAGCACATAAAAATACCTTGGACATCAGGCCACAGTGATAAGCCCAAGACTTTCCCTTCATCCATATTGCCATCCCACATTGCCTCTCACCCTGCCTATTGCAATTTTCCTACATCTCTTACTCTTCCATCAACACATTATTCACTCTACAGAAGGCTTCAGACTACACACCAATTCCTAACAAGAGCACACACACCTTGGTGTGGACAACAAGTGCCTATTTCTTTTTTCCCATGCTCCCATCTCTCCCACGTGTGAGCCTCTTAATTTGGCTCCAAGCATGGCTTCTGTCTCCACATCTCAGATCTCCTCTTTGGCCCCAGAGTGAACTGTCATCTACTGCAGTTGAAATCCCACCCAAACTGAGACCCAGCTGTTCCTAAATAGCCCTCTTGGCCAGCCCTTCCCTGTGAGGACTACTGTAGCAGTTCGAACCTATCCTCCTGTCTCTTGTTCAATTTCCTTGTTGTGTTGTCCCTCTAAGATTCTAAGTTCCTTGTAGGGCAAAGAGTACATCTCTTCCTGCTTGCTTCCTCCTCAGTGCCTACCTTAATGCCTTCATTAAAATGCTTGAATAGTGAAAATATATTCAATGAATGGTTGAAATAAATCTTATTAGAATCAGGTAGTCAACACAAATTTTATGTTTTGTTCCTTCTGGAGAGAAATAAAAATAGATATGAGCTTTTGTTATTAAAAGGAGACTTCCAGCACCTAAAGCAGTGAAGTTTTAGTCAGTGCAATAACAACAAAACTCCCCCACCTCCTGCCCCAGCTTGGTGTCTGTGGCTATCTGAGCACTGTGGTGCAGTGCCCAATGCCGGTGTCAGAGGGCCCAGGCGCTGGTGATGCCACCATGGGAAGGAAGACTAAGGTCCCCTGGGCCTCCTGAATTCCTTTTTGGAGATTTCACTCATAAAAAAGAGTGCTGGGATGAGCATTTGGCGCAGCAGTTAAGATGCCACTTGGGATGCCTGTATATCCCCTGTCGGAGTGTCTGTATCCATCTGCAGTCCTAGCTCCACGTCCCATGCCAATTGCCTGCTAATGCCCACCCTGGGAGGCAGAAGATGATGGCTCAAAGTACCTACTTGGGTCCCTGCCACCCACCAGGGAGACTGTGAGTGGCCCAGCCCTGTCTGCTGTGGGCATTTAGGGAGTGAACCAGCAGACGTAAGAGACATTCATTCTCCCCCGACCCCAGTCATGTTGCCTTTTCAAATAAATAAATGAAATTAAAGATCAAAAGGATGAAAATAACCAAATAATTTTTAAAGAGTGGATTCCTTTCCTAATAAATTAGATACATCTACTTGCCAGTGATATTTAGATTTTTTTTAGACGTACACCAGACATTACAAATATTCCATTGATGAGGCATGTGGGGAGAAGTGTTATAAAATATTTTTCTCCCACTTAGCTTTTCTGTGTGAACTATATCCAAATGTATCTCAATTTTCATAATTCAAAGAAAATATCTGTGCCAGCATTCTGAGAATAAATAGCTGCCAAGCAAAACCTGACAGCATAGTCCTTGGTGACATCGTTTAAGGCTGTCTACACAGAGTGAAGCGCTATCTAAAACTGAGCTCGTATGCAAATAGGCACACTCATGGATTAAAATTAAATTGTGTATATTAAAAGTGTCTCAAGGGTCCATGGAATGATCAGGAAAAATATAGCTGAGCTTGACCTGAAGTACCTTTCCTCATGGTTTTTTTGTCTTTTCCAGCTACTAGTCCCTCCAAAGAAAACAACTGTCTTGTTTCTTTTAGTTTGCTGTGTGCCCTGAGTTTTATTCCCAGTTGCTGCTATAAAAAACTGAAGTGGTTCCAAACAGTACTATTGTTTTTTCTTTTTTTCTTTTCTTCCTGTAACTCATATTTAAACATCAAAGATACTCTGGTACTTTTATGTTGTAAAGTGTATGTAAGACCCTATTTTCCCTAAAGGTATTTGCTGCCCAAGATTTTTTTTTCCCTCCGCTGTTAACCTTCTCTGTTAGAAGTCTTTTGACTGGTAGCCTTTTGATTTCACAGCATCACTGGCAGTCTGTGGAGGCTGATTTTGAGTGGGAGCACAGCAAAAGCCAGGAGGTAGTTGGGAGATTTAAAAAACACGTTAATCATGTATTTAAAGAAACAAGCAAAAAAAGCCCTACTTTAGTTATGCATCAAAAATCATGTTGCAATGGCCAGTGACCTTGGGAAATTTTAACCCTGAAGCATGTTATCAGGGCACCTCATATGGTTGGCACTAGAAATAATCTGCTTCCATCAAGACTCTTCTGATAATGGCAACTGCCGGGTAAATCCTGTATATTTGTGATGATAACTCTTAGAGGATGTTTTCAACCTTTTATTGACTGTTCATTGAGAATGTTTTATGAGATTCTCCTTTAGTTAGCTCTGTTAAAAAATAAGAGGAGTAGTCATTTAGCCTAGCACTTAAGATGCCAATTAAGAAAAGAAAAGGAAAAAAAAAAAAAGATGCCAATTGAGACAACTGCATCCCGTATCAGGGTTCCTGAACTCAAGTCCCAGTTCCACTCCAGTTCTGGCTTCTCACTAATGTACACCCTGGGAAGCAGTAAGTGATGGCTCAAGTTTTTGGGTCCTGCCACCCATATGGGAGATGGGAATTGAGTTCCCTGCCTGGCCTGGCCCCAGCATTAAGGGAGTGAGCCAGTGGGTTCTCTCTCTCTCTCTCTCACTACCCCCTGCCTCTCAAATAAAATAAAGTAAATAAAAGATATCCTAAAGAAATGCTGATTACTATATTTTTTTTTCCAGATATCCATGTAAAAATTTATTTATTTATTTGAAAGGCAGAGCAACAGAGAGAGGGAGAGGGAGAAAAAGAGACATCTCCTATCCTCTGGTTCAATCCCCAAATGACCACGATAGCCAAGTGTGGGTCAGACTGTATCCAGGAGTCAGTAACTCCATCCCAATCTCCCGCAGAGATAACAGGAGGCCAGTACTTGAGCCACCATCTGCTACTTTCATGGGCACATTAGTAGGGAACAGGACCAGAAGCAGAGCACCGAAGACTTGGACCTGGAGCTCTGGTGTAGGATGACAGTGCCACGAGCCTCAACCCTCTGCAATGCTGTGCCACAATGCTAGTCCCTTAAACTGATGCCTATTTGTTTTTAGCTGTTGTTAGCGGGTAGGAATAGAAATAAGAAATAATTGAATGACCACAAAAGAAATCAATACTGTATGACTAAATATAAAAATTAATCAGGAGACCCAGTTGTTAAAAGTTACAATAAAAATAAGAGCAAAGACTTTTATCTTACATTGAAAATGTTGAAGGTATTTCTAATTTGATATATGTGATCTCATAAAGAGAGTATATTAAATGAACCACGTCTTCAAATTGCTATTTTGTTCTTTATCAAAAGAAAAAATAGGGAATGGCAATTTAGGATAAAAAAAATGCCATAAACCAAATTTAGCTTTAATTACTGTCTAGCCATAAGAAGGAATAAACTATCAGCCAAGACCAAGGTTCTTTGATCTCACATTTCAACCTTCTTGTCCTCCAGATGAATGAAATGGTCTTTTCTCAAATGTTCAACAGGCCTTTTACCATTTGATAGGACAATTATTTTTAAGAAGGTTTAAAATGTGATCTGGAAAACCACATTGACTCTCCGTGGCATATTTGCTATTCTTAGCCTAGTGGAATAAGCTGGAAGTGGATGAATAATGCAGGTTAGAAAGAAAACAGATGCTAAATATTACAAATAGAAAGGTTTCCAGCAATGAGACTTTCATTTTAGGACTAGATTTTTGTTGGCACGTTTGGCATTATGACGATTATTATTTTTCTATCCAGCTGCTGCACATCTGTATTGAAGGTTGGGGCAACTGGCGATGGTCAGAGCCCTTCAGTGTGGACCATGCCGGAACTTTTATTAGAACAATTCAGTACAAGGGCCGAACCGCTTCACTCATCATCAAGGTTCAGCAACTCACTGCAGTGCAAAAACAGGTGAGTGTCTTCCTGTTCATGACTCAGACAACTCAGAGTTGCTTGAAGGAATGGAGATGACACGTAAGTGAAAATAACTAACCATGAAAAGCCACAGTGGCCATGCTGCCTCCTACCACCTTGCAGGTCTGTTGCTTGCTAACGTCTGGTTGATGATCCTGATAATCATGCTGAAGATGGCTTCAAACCCTTTGTCCCATGTCTTTTACAAGAGCTGCTAACGAGCAGTAAAATTTACTGATTTTAGTTTCACCTCTTCTCCCTGTCATCACCTACCTTCTGGGAGAGGTGCTAATGAGCTGTGAAACAGCCAAAAAGGTCTTCCCTGAGAAGGAAGAGAAGTGAAGGGTAGCAAGGACCCTGCTAGTCCGCCAGTGGAGAAGCAGGAGTTGGTGCTGCCGCCTGGGAGATGGTCGGTGTGGAAGGGCTGTGATAGCTCCCCATGACGGGGCGGGGTCTCCAGCAAGCCCTGCTTTGCCTAGAAGTTAATATTAACTGCAGTAAAACTCCACTGCACTCTAACTCTTGGCATATAAAACCTCAGCTCTCAGCACATATTTTTAACGTATTTTATAAAACTTCCTTTTGGCTGTTTTTGAAGTTCTAAGACTGCAAAAGGGAAAAAAAATGTCTGACACTTTTTTTGTGTTCTTAAGATGTGAAAATGTGGTTTCTAAAAGATGTTTTTCAAGCGTAGAGCATATGACAAGAGTAGAAAGAAAAAAAAAGGAAGTATTAAAATCTGAAAACTGGCTTCATGGCACACATAATAACTGGATTTGTCATAAGAGTTTTAACATATACATCTGCATCTGGATTCTCACAGTCTATCCCAAGCTTATGTGAGCCGAGGACACGCTACAAACAGCACTCAGAAGGGGAGCTTCCCTGACGGAGCAGCAGGGGCTGGTCTTTTGCTCTGTGCCAGGAATAAGCAGGAAGCAGCAAGATGAAGAGTAGGACCTGTACCATACGTTCTTGATCTGCAGCTAATCAGGGGGCTGATTTCACGTTCTCCTGGTGGACAGCAGAAAGGAAAAGAGAGCTGTAGCAGAGAATTCTCCGAAAAACAGCGCGTGAGGGATTCTTCTCAGTTAGCTGATCAGTCATCAGAATCGTTACTAATTACCTAACAAGGTCGATATGGGAGACACCAAATAGGTGACACAATCTTTGCTCTTAAATCACAGATGTATATAAACCCAACAGTACATACAAGTGATAATGTGAAGGGAACTTACAGGTGATTATAAAGTAAATTCAAAATATGTTATTGTGGGGCTGGCATTGTGGTGTAATGGGTAAAGCCACCGCCTGTGACACCAGCATCCCTATGGATGATGTCCCAGCTGCTCCCCTTCTGATCCAGCTCCCTACTAATGTGCCTGGGAAAACAATAGAGGATGGCCCAAGTGCTCAGACCCCCGCACTCATATAAGGAGACCCAGAAGAAGCTCCTAGCTCCTGGCTTTGGACTGGCCCAGCTCCAACTGTTATGGCCAGTTGGGGAGTAAACCAGTGGATGGAAGACTCTCTCCCTCTCTCCCTCTCTCCCTCTCTCCCTCTCTCCCTCTCTCTCTCTCTCTCACACACACACACACACACCTGCGCATGCACGCGCACACAGTCTCTCTCTCTCTCACTCACTCACTCACTCTTACTATGCCTTTCAAAGAAATAAATACATGTTTAAAAAAATTAAAAAAGGAAGGAGAGGGGAGGAAGATATCATTCTTAGAGCTGTATCTGAACTGCATAAAATCTGTTCTCCTTATATTAATAAGAATAATTGTATCTGTGAGAAAAAAAGGTAAGACTTGAGCTAGGCTTTGAAGAATATGTAGTGTTTGAATTAAGAGAGAGCATTCCAAGTAGACGGTATTACATAAACAAAGGCACAAAAACGGGACAGAAGAGTCTCATCACAGGACTCAGGAGGGACCAGCCTGAGTGTGAGCTTTGACCTAGAGTCAGGAGAGCAAGAAGTCACTAACCCCACCTTCCCTTAGGGCTCCCTGTGTGGCTGTGCTTTCACTAAATATCTATGCAGTAAATACAGATCAGTTTCCTGATTCTGTCATTCATGGTCCCTCCGAAATGCCTTACCCACCTTCCCTTTCACTAGCATGTCAGAAACGGTGCTTCAGCCTCTGTTTGAAGAGTTCAGATGACAAGAGGCACACAGCCCCCTTTCCCTGGCCAGTCACCACCAAAATCTTGTACCCTACTGCCAGCTTGTACCGTGGTCCAGGACTATGAGACGTACACGACAACTTGTTGTGAGGACTCCACAGTCACGCTCCTAACAGCCCTTCAGCACATGCGGGGAGCCGCTATGTTTCCTGATAGTATCCCACTCCCTAGACCGTGGTTCACAAACGTGGAGGATGCGTCGGAATTCTCAAAGGGACGTGTTCACACACGATCGCTAGGCCCACCCTCAGACCTTCAGATTCAGTTAGGTCTTGTGTGTCCTGAGAATCTGCAATTCTGGCAGTTTCCCGGTGATGCTGATGCTGCTGGTGTAGGGGCTGCACTTTGAGACCATCACTCTGATCCAGTTTCCAAATTTGTTCAGCTCTTTTGCGTGTGGTCGCTAGGACACATAGCAGTGGTAAAATGTCAGTGTTCTCCTGTGACAAATGCTTTTAATGCTATGTCATGGTAGTTAAGATCATAAGCAACCTGGCTGTATCCCTTTTATAGCCGTGTGATTTCCAGCAAATTATTTAACCCCTTTGCAAATGAATTTCCTTATCAGTAAAATGAGGATAGTAATACTGCCTTTTTACAGAAGTTAGCACAAGGATTAAATGAGTTTGTATATACAGAGCATTTACAACATACCTGGCTCACTGTCATAGCCCCATAAACTTTAGTTACAAAAATGATAATACAGTATTCTCAGGCATGAATAACACTGGTTGGACTCTGTTGTATTATTACAATAGTGCCTTGTTCTTGCATGGGTAATATGTAGATTCAAGGAATGACATTAACTTTCAGTGATAAATTAACATGTGGAATACTCTTGCATAGATATGACACAGTGCAGATGTCAAAAAAGTTGGTCATTTAAAAATTACATTCTAAAGGCGGGCGCCGCGGCTCACTAGGCTAATCCTCCGCCTTGCGGCGCCGGCACACCGGGTTCTAGTCCCGGTCGGGGCGCTGGATTCTGTCCCGGTTGCCCCTCTTCCAGGCCAGCCCTCTGCTGTGGCCAGGGAGTGCAGTGGAGGATGGCCCAGGTGCTTGGGCCCTGCACCCCATGGGAGACCAGGAAAAGCACCTGGTTCCTGGCTCCTGCCATCGGATCAGCGCGGTGTGCCGGCCGCAGCGCGCCAGCCGCGGCGGCCATTGGAGGGTGAACCAACGGCAAAGGAAGACCTTTCTCTCTGTCTCTCTCTCTCACTGTCCACTCTGCCTGTCAAAAAAAAAAAAAAAAAATTACATTCTAAAACATTCATACAAAGCATTTCCCTCTTTCTTCTCTCTCTCTCTCTCTCTCTCTTTCTCACTCACTCTCTCTCTCTCACTCACTCTCTCTCATATATACACACACACACACCTGCATGCAAAAATTTGAATTGTCTTTTTCAATTGAATTTCATTTTTTTTTTTTTTTTGGTCAGGGTAGTTTAGTGTTCAGATTAGCTCTAGTTAAAGTACATCAGAGACATAGGATTTCCTCAGTTGGCAAGGCTAGGAAGGAAGAAAGGAACCAAGCTTCAGAAGAACTTCATGGACCTTTGCCTACCTCACTTCTTGGCTGCCTTCCTTCTACCCCACCTGGGCCTGGAAATTTATAATAAACCACAGCTGCCTAATTACCAAGGCCCATTTGGGCAGGAGAGTGCACGCAGATCCCTGATGTACCTTAACCACATTAATATGCCCCTGGATAATGGAGAAGGCTAAAGCTCTTTTTAACTTGATGTTTAGTTATCTCTACTCTGCCTTTCCTATACTCCTCTCATTTCCCCAAGTAAATGAAAATGGACCACATGTAAAATTTCTCTGGAACTTTGGACATTATAAAACTACTCATATACACATACTTGCTTCTGTGTTTTCCGTCTTTCCTTGAAGAAAACATTACCACTCTCAAAACTTAAATGTAGTTAGATAAATGTGTATATTTGTTTCTTTGTACATGCACTTTTAATCATGGTTAGGATATCATTTTCCAGTGCATCTGGTGCTCTGGAGTTGTTATTTAACATCACTATTCTTCTTGGCACTGATCTAATAGGAGTTCTGAAACCTGCTAAGTAAAATCATATGTGGAAATCTTCAGTACACATCTTGGTGACTTTGGGGAGAAAGGAGAATTAGTGTGAAAGCTGGAAATGTGTATTAAAGAGAAATCCTACATTTTAAAAAATTAAGTCGCTGTCTTCAGCTGATAAATTAATCTTGAAATTCTGGCTATACTTTTCAAAATAAAGGCCTTGTAAGTTTTGCCACTTTGAAGAAAAGCAGATTTGGCTCCCCGAAACCCCGGCTGGAGCAGCACTCTGGTGAGCGGCCATTTTGGATCCCCCTTCATCTAAATGGCCTTCCCTCCCTGCCCACTTGGAAGGATTCTCTTTTTTATCAAATTTGAAAGCTTATTTAATGGGCTTTTTAGTAGAAAATGAAACTGTAACAACCCACCAAGAGGATCTTTGTCTTTAAACAAAGCAAGTCCCAGATGGTGGCCGGGGTTCTGTGGTTCCTAGGAGAGACAGCAAAATTGTCTTCCAAATCTCCAGGGCTCCAGAGGTTCTGAAGCAAGGGCCATGTGCCCACCTTGGCAGGCCTGGGCACATCAGGAGTAGGAGCAGAGTTCAGTACTGCCTTGGAGTTTTCAAGTGCTTCTTTAAATTTAGGTGATGTTCTGGCATCAGACTTCCCAGGAGTGTCAGGTAACCCCTAGCACACGCTGAAGAAAGCATGCCTGCTGATTTAACACTCGTGAGTCTATGGCTTTTGTGGCTTGTTACTGTGCAAGCATAGTTTCCAAGGATTATAATGCTATAGGCTGGCACCGCGGCTCAATAGGCTAATCCTCCACCTGCCACGCCAGCACACCGGGTTCTAGTCCCAGTCGGGATGCCGGATTCTGTCCCAGTTGCTCCTCTTCCAGGCCAGCTCTCTGCTGTGGCCCGGGAGTGCAGTGGAGGATGGCCCAAGTGCTTTGGCCCTGCACCTGCATGGGAGACCAGGAGAAGACGCCTGGCTCCTGGCTTCGGATCAGTGCAGCGTGCCTGCCGCGGTGGCCATTGGGGGATGAACCAATGGTAAAGGAAGACCTTTCTCTCTGTCTATTGTCCACTCTGCCTGTCAAAAAAAAAAAAAAAAAAAAAGGATTATAATGCTACAGTATGTGGGGGACTTATGGCAGTCAGGCACAGTTGGTTTAAAGACATGCCCCTTCTAAAGAAAATTCAAATGAATAAACAGATAGCTGGAAAACAAATGTTTAAGAAAATGATAAATCTCACCCTTCTAATAATGCAAGTGACAACAACAATAATATCAAATTTTTGATTTATCAATCTAGCATGTTTATTTTGGGTAACTAATAGTTCATTCATATTTGTGTAAATGATAGTTCATTTAAAACAATGATTATAGAGAATCCTTAATGCTTCAGTTAGGATGCTTTCACCTGAAGTTATGAAATATGTATTTTAATTTTTTTAGCAAGTTAATGAGACACACACTATTCTAAGTCCTTTTAAAGCTTGATTGTTCGGCCAGCACCGCGGCTCACTAGGCTAATCCTCCGCCTCGCGGCGCCGGCACACCAGGTTTTAGTCCCGGTCGGGGCGCCGGATTCTGTCCTGGTTGCCCCTCTTCCAGGCCAGCTCTCTGCTGTGGCCCAGGAAGGCAGTGGAGGATGGCCCAAGTGCTTGGGCCCTGCACCCCATGAGACCAGGATAAGTACCTGGCTCCTGCTATCAGATAAGCGCGATGCGCCGGCAGCGGCAGCCATTGGAGGGTGAACCAATGGCAAAGGAAGACCTTTCTCTCTCTCTCTCTCTCTCTCACTGTCCACTCTGCCTGTCAAAAAAAAAAAAAAAAAAAAAAAAAAAAGCTTGATTGTTTCATGTAACAAGAAAAAAATGCTTGCGGGTTCTGTGTTGGTTAATTGAGCAACTCATGCTGTGACTGTTCCTCTTCCATGCTTTGGTTGTGCCTCCTGGTCGCAAGATGGTTGCAAAAGCAGCATGCCTCCTTTCATAGCTCCTTCTATGATGGGAAAGCAAGACTTTCTGTTTTCAAAGTGTCTCCCTAGAGCATTTTACCAGTCTCCCCTGTTTATGTTATTAGCCAAAACAGAGTCCCACCCTAAACCAATTATGGGGCAAGAGAGCATGGAAGTACCAGAAGCTTCTTGTTACAGTTATGCTGCAGCATGTGGGGACAATGCAGATGGCCGCCTACCCCGAGTGCTTTGCTGTCTTTTGATATCTAAACCAAAGCAGGGTTTTTAACCTCGAGGGAAAAGGCAGGACCAGCTATTGGGAAGGGAATCAGTGGTGTCTGCTGTAGTAATGTCATAATGGGCAGCCTTTATTCTCTTTTTGCCTTTTCTAAGTTCTCTTAATGAGTAGGTTTTAGTTTTATGAGTAACAGACTATCAGGGTGTTTATCAACACAGACTCAACCAGGCTGGATAAGAGCAGGCAAGTTATTCAATACCTCTGTGCTGACATTTTCTCCTTATTAAATGGGAAGACATAGTAGCACCTACCAAAGGTTGCTGGAAGGATAAGGGAGTTCATTTGTGAAAATGCTTTGTATGAATTAGGTTTCTCCAGAGAAACAGAACCAGTAGTGGGGGAGGGGTGAAAAGGGGGAGAGAGGATATGATTGATTGATTGATTGATTATAAATTAGCTCACATGATTATAGACACAGGGATGTCCCCACACCTATAGTCAGCAATCTAGAAAGCCAGTGTATATTTCCACTCTGAGTCCAAAGGCCTAAGAACCAAGAGAGACCGTGGTGTAAGTTCCAGTTCAGAAGCCAACAAATTCAAGACCTGAGAAGAAGCATTGTTTCAGTCGAAGTGTGAAGGCTGAAAGGGACCAGTGTCCCAGCTCAAGCAGTCAGGCAGAATGAGTTCCCTGGCCCTCAGCCGTGATGTGATCGGATGCTGCACATCCACATTGCAGAGGGTGACCCGCTTGACTCAGTCCACCAGTGAGAAAGTTCATCTCATCCAGAAAACCCATTACAGACACATTTGCAACAATGTTTGACTAAATGCCTGGGCACCCGGTGGCCCAGTGAAGTTGACATATTAAAACTAACCATGCCGTGTGTGTGTGTGTGTGTGTGTGTGTATTCTTGTTATTTGATAAGCTGAAAAGATATTACAAATAGGAAATCTAATATGTAAAAGTCCCATTTTCTGAAATCATAGTGAATATTCATATTACACAAGGATTCTTTCTAAAAGTATTCCAGGCATAAGTGTAAATTTTGCATTATCTTTTCCATTTCAACCACTTTAAGAAACATTTCTTTGGGCAGCTCTTGTGGTGTAACCAGTAAAGCCTCTGCCTGCAACACTGGCATACTGTATGGGTGCCGGTTTGAGTCCCAGCTGCCCAGCTGCTCCACGTCCCATCCGGCTCCCTGCTAATGCACCCGAGAAATCAATGGAAGATGGCCCAAGTGCTTGGGCTCCTATACCCACGTGGGAGATGAAGAAGAAGCTACTGGCTCCTGGCCCAGCCCTGGCCATTGCAGCCATTTGGGAAGTGAACCAGCAGATGGAAGACTTGTCTCTCTCTCTGGCTCTACCTCTCTCTTTAACTCTGCCTTTCAAATAAATGAAATAATTCTTTTAAAAAAAAGGAAATATTTCTTAATACCTACTGTGAAGCATAGTCAGGTGCCAAATCATGTAATCCATGGGATTAGTGGATAATTCTGTGTGTTTTATAAAGATACTTATACAATATAGTAAAAACCTGAATAATATAAAATTATGTACCTGAGTTAAAGATTGTATCACCAGTTTATACAGAGATCTCTTACTGAATAAGGATGCAGTAAACCCTGGAAAATTAGCTTCCAGAAATAATCACAATTGCCTTCTGAGTTACAGAGCTAAATGCTCAGTCACCATCCTTTCCGACTTCAATATTACATAACAGGGCTAACCATCACCCACCTTCCGGTCAGTCATTTCTCTGATTGCCTCAGTAGAACTGCTCTCTCCTGACCTATCTTCACACCCCCTCACCCTTCTGGCACCTTCTCTTCTCAAGGAGTCTGTCCTCTCCCCTCTGCCCCCAGTACTGGTAGTTTGCAGCCTTGTGCTTCCGCCCTCTCCTCCAGGTAGGCTGTTTCTGCTTTGCAGGTTGGCCAGGCTTTCATCACCCAAGTCCTTATCTGCAACTGCAGGATCCCTCTCAAGCCCCCGGCCGATCCTGCATACCTGTCCTTTAAATGCTCACGTACTCAATGTGACCAAATCAAAGCCGGCCCTTCCTTCAAGTCTCTTTTTCTTTTTACGCTATCTAAGCTAATGACTTCATTTTTTTTTTCCATTAACATCAACATAGCTTATGTAAATGATTGCCTAGTTCCAATTAATGAAGACTGGAATAATGAAGTCTTACGTATTAATTTGTTGTCTTTTAGATTATCATCTGTGGGAGACAGATCATCTGTAGTTACTTGTCTCAAAGCATAGAACTGAAAGTCGTTCAGCATTACATCGCTCAAGATGGCCAGGCTGTGGTTCGAGAACATTTTGACTGCCTCATGGCCAAGCAGAAGCTGCCGTCCTATGTCCTGGAAAACAGCGAGCTGACAGAGCTATGTGTGAAGGCCAAAGGAGATGAGGACTGGTCAAGGGACGTGTGCCTGGAATCCAAAGCCCCTGAGGATAGCATTGTCATTCAGGTAAGAGAAGTTGTACCGAACAGAGTGGAACAGCTTCAGAGCTGAAATTTTCCCAGGATGCCTTTACTTGCGATAGTGCTTTCAGTTCATTGTTAAAACGGTACATAGAAAAGGTTGGAGGGCTGAAATGACATCAGAAGGCTTGAATAGAACTCCTCAAACTGCCCCCCCCCACAACAAGCACTCCTGTAAGTTCCAGTATTCTCGAAGCTCCTTAGACAGATCCCTTCATCCTTACGGGAAGATTTGGCTTCACCAACTCACTGCACATTCTCTTTATGTCATAACGAAGTCTGTTTTTGCTTAATTGTCCTTTCTTTAATGGATTTTGTCTATACCTTTACATTTTTCCTATCTTCCAAACTGATACTGTACATGGACCTTATGCTGATTAAGTAGTGCGTTGTTTGGTGCGTAACAGAGCGCTCTGCTCTCTCATATGCAGGTGCCATCTTCAAACGGCTCCATTATTTATGTGTGGTGCACAGTTTTGACTTTAGAACCTAACTCTCAAGTACAGCAACGAATGGTGAGTGCTCTCCCAACCCTAAAATACGGTATATGACCCTGACCTTTCCTGTTCTGAAATAAATTAAGGTCAGAGTGACCCAGGGAGGAGATTTATTACAAGTGCGTTTCAGCATCAAACAGCTGGAATACTGCAGCGAGGCAAATATGAAAGTTGTTCTGGCCTTTTATTTTTATAGATTGTGTTCAGCCCTCTGTTTATCATGAGGAGTCATCTTCCAGACCCCATTATCATACATTTGGAGAAAAGGAGTTTGGGGTTGAGCGAATCACAAGTTATTCCAGGAAAGGGCCAGGAAAAAACACTGCAGAACATAGAACCTGACCTCGTGCACCACCTGACATTCCAAGCAAGGTATTAGAAGTATCCTTTCCCTTTTCCCAAGAGAAATTCAGTAGAAACGGAACCGTGTGCTGCTGGGGAGGGGAAGCACACGCGGGGTTGTATGTGTGTTATCTGATGAGAATGTGATTTTAAAATCGCTTTGCCTAGTGTTCTCTTATCCTCTTTTGTAGTTTTAGATAAAATTCAGACTTGCAGATTACACTTGGAAATAAATGAAAGGTAATTGGGAAATTTAGATTTAGAATTAGATGTAAATGATTTCTGAAGTGAAAAAAGAGATGCCTAGAGATCTCACCCGTGTTGGAGGCCAGGGAGCAGGATGAGAAAGAGGAAAAACTCGGACGCAGATCCTCTCAAAGCTGTGTACTAAGTTCCTAAATTACCCAAAATTGACTCAATCCTACAAAAACGTATTGGTGTATAATACATTTGTTAGTAGATATTGTTCAATAAACTATAGACCACCTTATAAAGCTGACATCATTCTTGTCTTTTCTTTCCACTTCCTAGAGAAGAATATGACCCTTCAGATTGTGCAGTTCCCATCTCAACATCCCTCATTAAGCAAATAGCCACCAAGATACAGCCTGGAGGCACAGTCAATCAGATTCTTGAGGAATTCTATGGAACAGAAAAGTCCATTCAACCCATGTGGCCCTATAATAAGAAAGATTCTGAAAGGTGATGTTCTTTAGCAATCCTCTTCTAAAAACATTTCTCAACATTAAGAAATGACTTTTCACCCACCAAAACATTAGATAATAAATGGTATAAGAAAAAAAGAGACTTGCATGTATCTATAGGATTCTGACCTTTTATCATTTTAGTGGATATATTTTATAGATTTCTGAAGTCTTAATCTAGAACATAATTGCATGAAAAATTGGCCTGTCCTACATGCAAATCTAGCATTGAATAACTCTGGTGAGAAGAGGTATCGCACAGTAAGATTGTGTGTCTGGAATCCTTAAACGTATTTCATGAATATTGAAGTCATCATATTTCATTGAATCTCTTGGATGGCATATTTGCAACAGGAATGAGCAGCTGAGCCAGTGGGATAGCCCAATGCGAGTGAAGCTGTCAGTCTGGAAGCCATATGTTAGAACCTTGTTGATAGAACTTCTACCTTGGGCCCTGCTTATCAATCAGTCCAAGTGGGACCTCTGGCTGTTTGAAGGAGAGAAGATTGTTCTACAGGTTCCTGCTGGGAAAATTATTATTCCTCCTAATTTTCAGGTACCATAACTTTTAAACTAATATGAATTCTTTTCTCTCAACAACTACATTTTATTCTGAGGTTGCATTTATGATCCTAACAGTACGAATCAGTTGTGGAAAACTGCCCTCCTAGATGCATACCTAAGGGGTATGGAATGTTCTTTGATATTCAAAGACTTTTCAGATGTCTTTTTTTCCCCATCAGCAGTATTCATGCTTGAGCTATTATTAAATTTGATACCTTGTACTAGATACATTCTCATTTCCATCGCATGCAGGATATTTGACAAGCATTAGGGTTGGTCTGCTCAGTACAGAGCCATATTGTGTGCTGAGATGCCCACTGGATACTCTTTATGGTTCTTCTGGAAGTTCTCGGAGACCTGCAAGGTATTTAGGATTTCTGAGCAACCGTTTTCGTCAGGGCCTTTTTTCCTTCCTGGGTGAACTTGGTGTCCATAATTATGAATGCTCAGCCGGTTGATTAGAACAACATGGACTCAGTCATGACCCAGGGAAGAAAAACCTAACTGCAAAACAAACTTTCCCAGCAAAACTTTATATTCTATCACAAGAGAACTTTCATATGGCTAGCCCATTTCAAGAAGACACGTAAATCTATAAGGAAGTAGAATAAAAGGAACTTTTACATAAAAGGTTTTCCTGATAAAAAACAATTTGAGTCCTTTTTTAAAAAAAAATTCCAGTTCCTAAACATCTTTATTCAATTGCATTCTTCTTCTTTGTACTTTAATAATCAGATGATGTTACTTTATGGAATTGGAATGTTGACCTATATGGACCTAATGTTGCATGTTATTCTCTTGTCAAATGAGATGAAACCCTCAATTTTTAAGCCTTTGGTATTTACAGGATAGTCACCTTTTGGATATGGTTATTTCCCCCTTCCATAAATATGAATTCCATTGTAAATCCAAAAAGACATTGGGAATCAAAGTGAAATGTATGTTCCTATTACAAAAAGAGAAAGAAAAGTAAAAACCATGGAGGGATATTTGGTTGCCTTAGCAGACTTATTATATAATAAAAAAAATTCCTGAGGACTGAGGTAAAAAGTATCAAAGTTATGAAAAATACTTTATAATTGAGGTATTATTTTTCCAGGAAGCTTTTCAAATTGGAATATACTGGGCAAATACAAACACTGTGCACAAGTCAGTAGCAATTAAACTGGTCCATAACCTGACATCTCCGAAGTGGAAAGATGGAGGTAACGGGGAAGTCGTGACATTGGATGAAGAAGCATTTGTTGATGCTGAAATAAGACTTGGTGCTTTCCCAGGGCATCAGAAGGTAAGATCAGAGTCCGTGTGGCTGGGAGGGGGACATGGCAAGGCATTCTCTTAGCCTATTTCTAAGGAATCTATCCTTTTCTTCCTTAATCCCTTTTTGGTATTGCTTGTTCTCAGTAATTTATAACAGTGAAACACTTCTTAACTTCTTAGACCTCTCTGTTTTCCAGTATTTTTTTCTTCTTCACCAGTGATAAAGGCTGTGTCACATAATTTATCCAATAACCACTCTATTTCAGAACTCTCAGCATTCACTTGATTTATAGTATGTGGTGGGGGATGTGCGGAGGTGGAATGAACTTACTCCAAAACATCCACGAATTGTACTTGGCCTGCTTTTGTAGAACAAGAAATAGAGTTGCTAACATTCTAGCACTGAACGCAAGGACAAAGGCTCCGCAGCGAGCGTTCTGTCCCTGACAGGGGCATCCTGGGCAGAGAAGCGTGGATCAGTCCTGCTTCTCCCATGGAACCAATGCTATAAGAGGGGGTTGAGTCCTTGAATGGTGGACAGGCACCCCTGTGTTTAGAGATATGGATACAAAAAACCTACTTACGGAGGTTTAGTAACACAAATGGCGAATGCTTTCCAGCGCATATAAGTCTATGAATACAAGTTAAATGGATAATATAGTAATAAGCAAGCATTCTATTTTGTTTGGAAGTACAGTACCAGGTAGATGTCTCCTGCTGTCCTTACAATGGTCATTATTTCTGCTGCTCCAAATCAGAACAATAAGGGGTACTATGGGGCAGGCTTTTGGTACACACTGCTAGGGATGCATACATATTGAGTGTCCGCTCCTCTTCCAAATCTAGCTTCCTACCAGTGCGGGCCCTGTGAGGCAGCAGGCAGTGGCTCAAGCGTGTGGATCCACACAGCAGATCAAGAGTGGGTTCCCAGCTTCTGGCTTCCACCTGGCCCAGGCCAAGCCATTGTAGGCATTTGGGGAATGAACCAGGAAATGAGAGGTCTCTCTCTGTCTCTCTTTCATATAAGCAAAAGTAAATAAAAATTTCAAAATAGGAGAGATACTTTATTAGAGTAGCTGAGTTCAGGATGACCTTTCTCTGGGCAGGAGTTGTATTTTTGATGGGCATCTTTGAAGAGCCCTTTGAGAAGAGTTAGGGTTATTTGGTGACTTTAAAAAAATAAATTTCCCCGAGACAAGAACTTGGTCGTCCTTCAGTATTCAAGGCTGGTATCCATTTCCTCAAAGTTGTCTGGGCAACACATGTTTGTGCTCTGCTGGCCAAAGTACTGTAACACGGGTGTAAATGGCAAAGAGCTGTAAGCATGAATCACCCCAAGTTGAATAGTTGGGAGTTGAGAACTACCATCAAAACTGCGAGAAAAATGTTACAATCTACAGTCAAATGCCCCGTACCTCTGGCGCCTCCAGAGCAGCCACAGCAAGTACTGAAGAAATGCGAGTGAATGAATGAACTGTCAGAGACCGTGCTGACGTCTTATTGTTCTTTACTGGTGACTCTCAGACTTGTTAGTCTCAGCACTAAATGCTCTCAAAAGTTATCAAAGACCCCAAGAGGTCTTTTTTTCCTGTGGATTATATCAATATTTACCAAATAACAAATTATGACAAATTTTCAAAGCACAAGAATATGCAAACATATACCTTATTACCCATCACAGTGGTGGAATGATGTGCCGTGTTTTGTGTACTCATGAGGGAATAAAGAAGATAAATAATACTTTCTTATTATTCTAAAAGTAATTTTTACCTTGAGACCCCCTTTTCAGAGTTCCCTATGGTTCCCAAAACACCCTGTGAGAACAGCCTAGTCTGACACTACCACCTACTGCATGGGTATCTTTAGGCAAATAATACCTTCTCTAAGCATCAGTTCCTTATGTAACATGGTGGGGCAATGAGGTGTCCCAGGTAGTTTAGAGTGGCGCCTAGATCCAGACAACCTGGCCTCCAAACCCAGCTAGACCCTCTCTCATCTTTGTGACCATGGGCAAATTACTTAACCCCCGTGTGCCGCACCTTCCTATTCTGTGCAATGGGGTAATAGTAACTCCATTGTGTAGGCTTTGTGAGAATGTTGTGAGTGAACACACGTAAAGTACTCAGAACAGGTAGAGTATAGTATAGCAACATGATATATGAGATTCAGTTGCTACACCTTTGTTCTTCATGACTGCCATCATGGAAGGTCTCAGAACTCTCTGTGGTCCACGAGCAGTGACATGGCTGCTGTGATAAGTGTGAGTAGGAGGCAGCTGGATTGAACTCTGTGGTTATAGTGAGTGGCACTTGTTTACAAATCAGTGTTTTTTAAGTAGGTATTCTGTGATGTGATTTGTGCAATAATCGGAAAACAAGTCTCTTATCTGTCACTACACACAGTAGCAACAAGAGCCACTGCTTTGCTAAAGTACCCTAGTATAAATACCAGCCCATTTTCTTGGGCCAGGATGTTTTGAGGCTGAAATGAAATGTTATTGAATGCTGTGGAAAAGGGTAACATTGGTGCTGCTGCAGGCAAATCAGTAAGTAAAATAACCTTTAAGAATAATCGAGAGGTTTTTATCCCTTGTAATATTGTAAAAATGATTCTCTCCTAACTTATCTTGCAGTTATGTCAGTTCTGCATTTCCTCCATGGTACAGCAAGGTATCCAGATTATTCAGATTGAAGACAAGACTACAATAATCAACAATACCCCGTACCAACTGTTTTATAAACCTCAGTTAGCTGTCTGCAGTCCCTGTTCTGGAAAGGAGGTAAGCCCTCAAGCCATGGTCTTCTTGTCTATGTTAGGATAAGTTAACAATACACAGGATAGACTGTTTTAACCTAGGGCAGATAAAAAGCTACCGTTCAATATAAGTAAAGAGAAACTCACTTATTTTTGCTGTAACCAAAAGCATGGATGTCCTGGTCAGTGCTTCCAAGGTAATTAATAAGCAGAAATCCTACAAAGCAGCTGACACCCCACAGGATTGATGCTGCCTGTGCCCCATCTGCTCGGAGGCTGCAGCATGGCCCACTCACACACTTGCTAAACCACCAGCAGTGGGGACATGGGCCTCAGGATGGGCTCCCAAGCCCCAGGAAACCAACATCTGCCTCGCAGGCCACCACGCCCAGAGGAACCATCTGGACAGAAGGCTAGGGCCTGAACTGAGGCCCAGACCTGGGAGCGCGAGGTCTGTGTCTGCAAGGGCAGTAGATGTGAAAATGTACCGGCTCATCTCTGGTAACACTGCAGGGGCAGGATACGCAGACAACATCCGGGAACGTGCAGAAGGATCTTTGATTCAGCTCTTTGTACAATTAAAAGGAACACTCTTTTAAAATATTAACATTAAATAAATATTAAAATTAATAAAATAATATTTTAAAATATTTTATGAGAGTAAGGAGCGATTTAGCGGAACTTAAGACCAAATGTGCTACATGATATTCTGTCATGTTGCTAGTGAAACTGTTGTATAGGAAGGTCTTATCCACCTTTTCTGCATTTACTGTTGCCCCTGACTTTCAGCCCCTGAAATTTATATTAGAATAAACAGACAGGCTTCAAATATTATAATGGGCTTGTGGTATTTATAAAAATGTCAGGCATTTCATCCTGATTCATTCCTGTATTGATAAAATAAGTGACCAGAAGTTCCCAGTTGATTGCCCACCTGGGAAGTAGAGGTCAATGATATTTGCATTTTGAGGATTTGACCAGAAATCAGCATGTGTCTGATAATTTTCCTACTTCTCCCTACCTTAAAGTTTCTGGAGACATTGGTCAGGCTTTCCATGCTGACATTTTCTGCTTTTTAAAATAGGCATAGTTTTGAGTTCCCTGAAGGGTATTTTGAGAATTAAATCAGCAGGGGCTGTCATTGTGGCTTAACATGTCTGCCACCTGCAATGCCAGCATCGCATATGGGCACAGGTTAGTGTCCTGGCTGCTCCCCTTCTGATCCAGCTCCCTGCTAATGTGCCTGGGAAAGCAGTGGAAGATGGCCCAAGTGCTTGGGAGCTCGCCACTGTGTGGTAGAATCCAAAGAAGCTCCTGGTTCCTGGCTTCAGCCCGGCCTTTGTGACCATCTGGGGAGTAAACCAGAGAATGGAAGATCTGTCTCTGTGTCTCTCCCTCTCTGTCTCTCTATAACTCTGCCTTTCAAATAAATAAATAAATCTAAATGAAAAGGATGATCGCTCAGGAAATGAGCAGGTAGCAGTGCCTGATTCGCCTCGGCTCTCGGGGAGAAGGAAGACCCTAGTTCTTCCCTGCAGCTAAGGAGTGTCCCCCTTTTTCAACTCTAACCCTACTTCAGGCGGGTCTGAGATATTTTTTAAAAAAATATAATAATGGGTCTGGTGTTGTGTAGCAAGTTGAGCTACCGCTTGTAACACCTGTATCCTATGTCAGACAGCTGGTTTGAGTCCCAGCACACTGCACCCTTTCAGCGCATCCACACCTGTCCAGAGGACTCCCTCCCCAGCACATGGCATTGCTAGCACATGGCACCATGTTTGTGACACTGGGGAACCATGAGGACCTTGTGTCACCCTGTGTCACCTGTGTTAGCCCAGCCCTAAGATGCTTAGTCAGGGCCGAGCAGGCAGAGCCTGTCCTCACTGTGATGAGGAATGGTCTCACAGGCTCACTGGAGGGAACAGCGTAACCAGCATTCCATGTCCCCAGCCTGGCCACTTTCTGAGAATATGTGCGTATGGTTTCTGGGAAGTCACGCTTTAGAAAGCCTGCCTTTGCTGTATGACTGTAGTAAGTGTGCCGTGTCTGCATTGTGTCTTTTCAGCATTTCCACGTTCCAGACAGTGCGACTTTTAGCATTTGCCCAGGTGGAGAGCAGCCTGCACTGAAATCCAGTTCCCTTCCTTGCTGGGACTTACTGCCTGACGTCAGCCTGTCGGTGTTGGATGCATCGTTGCTTCAGAAACAGATCTTGCTGGGCTTTTCCCCAGCCGCAGGGGCCGACGGCCCACAGTGCTGGAGCCTGCCAGCCGTGGTTAGACAAGAGTTTCCCAGACAGAGTGTGGCAGTGCCCTTGGGGGATTTTAGGGAAAATGGTTTCTGCACCAGGTACTTTGCATAAATGTGCATGCCCTTCCTTGCTTGTCGGTATAGCTGTTCGTTGAGATGCCAAAAGAGACAGGAAAATAGTTCCAGTGCTCCCCATGTGTAATCACGAGGTTTTATTTTCCTTTTTAACGGCTTCTTGATGTGTATACAATTGGTCGAGTGTCGTGATCACGGGTGGGTCGTCCCAGGGTACCCCGCGGGAGACTTCAGCTCCCACAGCTTGTCCGGGGACGACCGTGACCTCTGCAGCACCTCGTGCTGGAAGAGCGCTGTCTCCGCTGCCTCCTTAGCCTCCTCACAATGAGGAGAAACAAGGGTTGAAATGTGAGAAAGTCCAATTGGAAAACCTTTTGATTGTCCTGTATCTTTCTTCAAAATGGAATTTTTCTCAAAAAGTCACTGAGAGAGATAAGTAAGATCAACACAAGTCACAGAAGGCTCCATTCTGCGGTTGTTTCTGCACGCAAGCTGCTCCGATTCCTGATTACCAATTATGCAAATGACAACCACAGAATCAAGCCAGAGTCGTGTAATGGTTTGTTCCTCCTGGACTCCTATTTGTGGTTGTTTTGCATGCAATCCATCCTTTCTGCAGCTGTCAGGAATAACTTATTTATGGTATATGTAACAACTACAAAAGAAAACATATTGTGACCTTATGAGAGGTACCTTATTCTCATGATTATAAATTCATGCACTTTAAGATTTTAGCCAGCCTAACTTTTTTCTTTATCTTTTTAAAATGACATACAGAAACTATACATATTTATGTTTTAATATATACACATTATGTAATATTATAGAGGTTTTTTAATAGTATTTTATTTTATTTTGAAAGTTGTGTTTATTTACTTGAAAGGCAGAGTTACTGAGACAGAGAAACTGATCTTCCATCCACTGGTTTACTCTCCAAACAGCCACAGTGGTTAGAGCTAGGCCAGCTTCATCTGGGTCTCCCACATGGATTCAGAGAACCAAGCACTTGGGCTATCTGCTGCTGCTTTCCCAGGTTCCATAGCAGGGAACTGGATTGGAGTTGGAGCAGCCAAGACACAAACCAGTGCCCATGTGGGATGCCAGCATTGCCATCAGTGGTTTAACCCACTGTGCCACAACACCTGCCCCTTTAATAGTATTTTAAAAGATAGGAGCTTAACTCTGGTTTTCCGTAATGGTAAGGTCCTGTCCCCTGCACACACCCTTTCTTCTCTCACAACATTTACAAACTAACTCTGTAGTGGAGTGATTATATTTGTATTCTGGCTGGAGATGATGTGTATTGAGTTTAAGGAAGTGTGTTTGAAAGATGTGTGAACTTAAGCCTATAGAGCAAAACTTGTGTTTAAACTGAGAAGGGGCCAGTGTTGTGGCATAGCAGGTTAAGCCACCAGTGGCAACACCAGCTTCCAATATAGGCACCGGTTCGAGTCCCAGCTGCTCCACTTCTGATCCAGCTCCCTGCTGATGTGCCTGGGAAAGTAACAGAAGATGGCCCAAGTACTTGGGCCACTGAACCCATGTGGCAGACCTGGAGGAAGGTCTTGGCTTCGGTCTGACCCAGCTGTGGCCATTGAGGCCATTGGGAGAGTGTGCACCACTGGTTGGAAGATCTATCTATGTCTGTCTCTCTCTCTCTAACTCTGCCTTTCAAAAAAAAAAAAAAAAAACTGAAAAAATTTGAATCAAACTTCATTTGGAAATTAAGTTTAAAATTCTGAAAATTAGAGCATAATTGAATTTTCTCTATAAATATAAAGCTAGCTTTCATATTCAAAATATCAGACTCTGTTCTTGGCCCCCAGCTTTCTTGGCTATCAGAGGAAATTCTCTGAGGTTGGCTGGCCCACCTCTTTGAAAATTAGGCTGGCTGGGGAAAGAAAGGACTTTACTGTGAGCCCCACAGCCGTACTCCAAAGATGACTTCATCCCTTGCTGTCCCAGCCCCACGTGGCTTTCCTCCCCTCAACGCAGCAGCGCACAGTGGCCGGCGTCTCCCCACACGCCACCGCTGTGTGCCTCAGAGGACTACAGTCTGAAGGGCCAACAAGTAGGGTGGATGAGGTTGGGACAGAGGGCCAGCGGTTTCTTTAGTACCTTACTGACCCCTTTTCATCAGTGTGAACGAAGGCCCACACTTGTCAAATTATCTGTGCTCTTTGATTAATTTTGATGGTAAGTCCATGTTAAACTTTAGAGAATTTTTTTCTTATTTGATTCAAAATACCATTTTGTAGTCTATAGATCTGGATAGAAAAATGTCTCTGGGTTCATCATAGAGAGCAACCTATGCCCATGCAGCTGTTTTTTTCTAACTCCAAACAATACAGTTTGCTTCTGATAGTGACAGTGTAGATCCTGTAAGTATCATTGTGACAGTTGACAACATTAGTAGCCTGCCTACATTTATAATTTAAAAAAAAAAAAAAAAAAAAAGGCCGGTGCCACGGCTCACTAGGCTAATCCTCCGCCTGTGGCGCCGGCACACCGGGTTCTAGTCCCAGTCGGGGCGCTGGATTCTGTCTCGGTTGCCCCTCTTCCAGGCCAGCTCTCTGCTGTGGCCAGGGAGTGCAGTGGAGGATGGCCCAAGTCCTTGGGCCTTGCACCCCATGGGAGACCAGAAGTACCTGGCTCCTGCCATCGGATCAGCGCGGTGCGCCAGCCGCAGCACACCGGCCACGGCGGCCATTGGAGGGTGAACCAACAGCAAAAGGAAGACCTTTCTCTCTGTCTCTCTCTCTCACTGTCAACTCTGCCTGTCAAAAAATAAAAAGTAATAATAAAAAAAATTTTTTTAAGTATGTATGATGTTAAAAAAAAAAAAGAAAGAAAAACTTGCACCAGAATTCTCTAGTGCTTCTAAAAGGTAGTCAGCGCCTCCTTTATCAAAATGTACTAAGCACATCCGAGGAAGAAGAGAGGCCCTGTGTGAAGAGTGTAAGGTCCGTGTGCATAGACGGAGCAAAGAGCAGCAAAAAGCTTAGCAGGGGTCAGCTGTGATGACTGTAGTTGTCTTGGAGGGACTAGTTTTTTGTTTTAAAAACTAGTTATATTTTTCTAATATTTTATGATAATCACATTACTCAGAAAAATCAGTAAGCATTTAATTAGTATATTGAATTAATAAATGAGAGAATGGCCTCCTTTTTCTGGGAAATGTGTCCCCTGAGTTACGAAGGAGAAGACATTTTAGAGTCCGGTGATTGTCCCTCAGCCATTGCTGACGGTTGGTTCGGTTGTGTTCCAGGGCTGTAGTGCTGACGTACCAAGAACACTGCGGGGTGACTTATTTAACCCTCTCAGAAGACCCTAGTCCTCGAGTGATTTTCCACAACAGATGTCCAGTAACGGTGCTTATCAAGGAAAATACTAAAGGTATTTTTATAGCATTAATTCAGACAACACAAACCTTACATTATTTCCAGAGGTTTATGGTTTAGTTGTTGCCTGTACCTTGTGAAGGATGTTTGAAGATATTATTCATCCTTCCTTGAGGAGTTTCTTTTGCCACATTATGTGTAATATCCCTAAGTCTTTGTCTTTAAGGTCTAAGTCTGCATGTACCTTGTTTTCTTCCATTTCAGATATTCCAAAGTTTGAAGTTTATTGCAAAAAAATTCCTCCTGAGAGCTCAGTTCATCACGAGCTGTATCATCAGATTTCCAGTTACCCAGACTGCAAGACCAAAGACTCCCTCCCTAGCCTTCTTTTGAGAGTTGAACTACCAGACAGAATAATAACTGAGTGGAGTGATGCCATCGACATCAACAGTCAGGGAACGCAGGTCAGTGAGCCGTGTGTGTCCTTGCCAAGGCCCACAGAAAAATCCCCTTTTCTAAGGTTGTGTCAGTTGGGTTTTTAAACATGATTTTCTAAATGCTGAACTTGTCTCAGTGTGAGGCCACTTGCATATCCATTTTTACATCCTAATTAGGTTATAAATTCTCAGACACAAGTATTTGTCTCCAAAGTACACTATATAGCTATTTACCAGAGAGAAACACTTGGTAAAAGCAAGCCATCTTGGATCTGATCCAAAGTCAAAAATTAAATAAAATTGTTAGACTTCTTTATGTAGAAGGTAGTCCAGCTGTCTGAATTTTTTGATAATTATAATACCAGTCCTATATTAACTCCCTGTCTTAAAAGTTCAGACATTTATATATGGTACATATTTGTTAATGAATATTATTATATACATTTAATTATATAGCATAATAAATTATGTACTTTTAAATGCATATATATTGATTTGTAATATATGTGCTGTATATATATGTATATATATATATATACATCTCCTAGTAATCCATAAAATTCTGAAAGTGTGAGTACAGTTCTTAACACCAGAACGAAGAAAATGTCCCGATTTGTTTCTGTCTTCCTCCTGGGTGCTAGTGGGCACCAATGTTCATTGAAAATGGCACAGAAGTAGCTTGTCCTTTCTGCTACTCTTCAAATTTATCACTTTAAGTGTATAATTCAGCGGCATTAAATAACATTTACAGGGTTGTACAATTACTGCCACTTGTCTATTTGTGACTCACTTTCATCGTTCCGAATAGAAACTCTGTACCCATTAAGCAATCACTTTTCTTTTCCCCTCCCCCTCAACCCCAGTAACCTCTGTTCTATTTTCTGTGTCTGTGAATTTGCCTATTTTAAGTACAGCAGATAAGTGGAGTCATAAAGTATTTATCCTTTTGTGTCTGGTTTATTTCACTGAACATAATGTCTTCAAGGCTCACTGATGTTATAGCATGAATTAGAGCTTCATTCCTTTTTATGGCTGAATAATATTGTGCTATACTTTTTTAAAGCTCTTTTACATTTATTGGTTCATTTGGTCTCCACAACAAGCCTTGTGAAGTGGGTTCTCTTGTACTTGTAGTGGTTAAAAAAAAAAACATATTTTAAAGTGACAAATGTATTTACAGTAATAGTAATGGTTATCATTTAATAATCACTCTATGCCAGGCCTTGCCCTAAGCACTTCCATTCTCATGTAACCTGTACAGGAGCCATATACACATTAGGGACTCTCACGTCCACATTACAGAAGTGGAAACTGAGGCCTCCAGAAATGGCAGTCCAGGCAAGAGCCGGGTCCATCCAGGGCCCTGCTGAAGCCCTGTGCTGCGTGTGTGGCTTCCCCACCAGGGGCTCCCGCCTCCTCGTCCCCAGTGCTCCTGGCACGTTCCTTCTCTCTCAAGATCGAGTTAGAGCTCCCGGGAAGGCTCCTCCTGTAACATCTGTAACGTTTAATTGCACTTACTTCTGTAAATGGTTTCCGACCACGTCGAGGTTGCTGGCAGTCAGATACTTGCCTCGTTCCCCCTCGCACCAGAGCGCCTGTCAGCACCGGGAGATCGCAGTCAACAGCGAATGAGTAAATGCGCGGCTGCCTCCATGGAGAGACACGGTTCCCCAGAGAGCCAGCGGAGGAGGCCAGGCCTGCCCTTGGGAAGCTGCCCCTCTCGGAAGCGCAGGGCAGCAGAGGCAACGAGGCGAGCAGGGCGGGCACCTGGGCACCCGGGAGGCCCTGGCAGGAGAAGGGCTGCCAAGTGCAGAGCCTTGGGAAGAGGCGAGGCAAGACCGTGGTTAGAAACTGCGCACTCAGGAGGAGAGAAGTGAGGGAGGGGCAGATGACAAGTAGGCTTTCCAGGAGGGCGGCCATGAAGAACGTGAGATCAGCATGGGAGACAAGCTGGGCAAGGAGAGTGGCAGATAGGAGCAAGCAGGTGCCCAGAGAGACAAATCCACAGCGCAGCCAGAGGAAATCGACTTTTCCAGAAGGGCCACTTCCACTTGCTTGGTGGGGGGAAGAGGTAAGAATGGGCACAGGTGCAGACAGATATGCAGAGTACTGGGGATGGGCAACCGATTGTCCTTCAGTGGCCGTAAGTCGATTTGTGAAGTGTGGATGAACTGCTCTCCTAGGAGAGACCGGGAAGGAGGGGATGGCTGATCAGCCTGAGGGCCACGCTCGCCTGGGAGACCTGGCATGAGTCGCGGTCCCAGCTGCCGGGGTGTGCTTTCCGTCTGCAGCGCTCACCTGCCGAGCAGGTGAATCTGCTGGCCCTGTGCCCCAGGAGACGCTCCCGGTCTCGGTCATCTACCAAATAAAGATTGCAGGCTTTGCAAAGGCCCCTGCACTCCCCCGCATGGGTTGGAAGATTTTAGAAATCTTGCTTATATCTGACTGGGGAATTCTTTACAATGAGCAGTCTGCCTGCCAAACTGTATTTTGGGGATTCCCGTTCGCTGTAAATTTCCTCAGGCCTTTGTAGTCAAGGCTACTTCAAAGCTCAGCCGAGGTGCTCTTTCCCACACCCTTCCCGCAGCCCTCTGAGGACGCAGGCAAGCCTCCTGTTCCTCCCAGAGAGCTGGGCGCCACATGTCCCGCAGGCGCGGCTTCCTTCCTCTCTTCACCCCCAGTGCCGCCCCACAGGCTGGGAACCACTGGGGGCCCCACAGGCTGTGTCGTTCTGAGGAAGGGAGTGTGTCTTGCACAAACCTTCCCTCAACCCACGGTCTCAGGCCCCGGCTACACACTTCCAAGGTAGCCTGCACAGGTAGAGTGTGCAGGAAGGGAACTCCTTTGGTGGCCAGTCATCTGGGTCTCAGGACACTCCGTGTGGTGTCATATTTGAAGTGGAGTGGAGATGTGGAAATGGCTTTATAATCTCCCCAAGAAGCGGTCTTGGAACCAGGAATCAGGAGGAAGACCTGCCAGCCTGTGGCTCGCCAGTCGAGACTGGGGAGCTGGTGTGTTTCCTAGGGCTGTGCCAGCTTCAGAGCTGCTCAGAGACACCGTGTGCTTGTTCAGCCGAGCCCTGAACCCGGCAGGGCCCCTCATATCCCTCACTTGAAACAGGGCGGTGGTCTGACGGTAGGGGGAAGACAGTCTTCAGGTTCTCGATAGGTAGGTACAAACAATAACTTTACAAAAATGACCATTTCAAGTCATAATTTGAACCTATCAGGGAAGTAGTTTAGAATCCTGTCTTAGTGTATGGGATTCCAATTTTTGATCATCAGAAACCTTTTTGTTGGAGTTTTGAAAACTTCTAAATAAGGTACAAAGGAAACAGTGCTTTTACCATTCAGCCCATAAATATCTTGTGCCTGCCACGTTCATTTGATCATTAAGTGCTTCTTGAATTCTGGATAAATGCCGAACATTTAAACTGGTTCAAGGACTGTATAAGGTACGCTGGAAAGGGTGGAACACGGCCCTTGCCTTCAAGGAGTTTACATGGAAGGAGAGAGATTGAAGCAAGCAATCGCATGGATAGTCGTGCTACTATAAACTCTGCTAAGAGCCAGGAGACAGGGCTGCAGAGTAGGGGCCGGTGTCATGGCGCACAAGGAGTCCACACCTATGATGTTGGTGTCCTATTTGAGCACCAGTTAAGTCCCAGATACAGCACTTACAATCCAGCTCCCGCTAACGCTCCCAGGAAAAGCAGGTGGCCCAGGTGCTTGGGCTCCTGCCACCCATGTGAGAGACCTGGATGGAGTTCCAGGCTCCTAGTCCTGGTTCGGCCTGGTTCAGCCTTGGCTGTTACAGCCATTTGGGGAGTGAACCAGAAGATGGAAAAATCTCTTTCTGCAACTATGCCTTTTAAACAAAGAAACAAACCAATCAAGGAAGGATGGATGGAGGGAGTGCAGACTAGTTGGAGAGGTCAGGGAGTATGTCTCTGGGTGAAGGCTTTGTGTCTGTGCCTTCACGGAGGAACAGACATTACGAAAACAAGAGGGTGGGAGATTTTTCTAGGCAGAAAGAGCAACATATTTGAAGCCTTAGAGTTCCTGATGAAGGAAAAGCGGAAGGGAGAGGAGGCAGGCAAGGCAGAGAGAGCCTGGCAGGGGCCTGGCTGCCCTGTCCAGTAATTTGGCTTTTATCTTAAGAGCCATAAGAAGTCATCAGATTGCTAATGGAAACTAATTTCTGAGCCATTAAAGCAGCAAAGAAAAATGTGCAGTTGGAGCCCCCTAAAGTGAATTAAATTGATTCATTCACAGGTGAATTCCTTTCTAAAAAGATCCAGTAAATTCTCATGATCTTTGACTCTTAGCTGTGTTTAGCAGGGTCAGCGTCACTGCTGTTTCTTCCCAAATTGTTTGTATTTCAGGGGGCTGGGGCAGAAGGACAGCCCAGCAGATTTATGGATCTCTGTGCTATTGACAAAATGCCTGCACATACACAGTCTCCATTCTTTCATTCGTTTGTTCAACAAACTTTTATTGAGGACCTATCAAATGGCAAACCCTTTGCCTCAAATAAGGCACAATTCCCACCTTCAAGGACTTGAGTTAACTAAATAAATGCAGTAAAGTGTAGTAAGTCCTGATACAGAGCCTTTGATCACTGCAAAAATTCAAACATACAGCGGTAACTTTTATGTTTATTTACTGATGGAAGGCATGAGGCTTAATGAGTTCTCAGCAACAGGGGGCTCACAACCACGCAGCACCTGCTCACACATAGCCCAGTCCGGTTTGTCCTGCACCATGCTGCAGTCACTGCCTATGCTTTGAAGTCCTGCCCTGGCTGTACATCCTGCTGCCTGCAGATTCCTCAAAGCACAGGTAGGTGCTCTTTCTCACTAGTACAGCAGTCCCTTCCCTGGCATCTAGCCTCAGAGGGCTCCCAGCGCCATGGTCATGCCTCGTTCCAGTGGTGACTAAGAAAGTTTCCTCTCTGTTTTTTTTTTTTTTTAAAGATTTATTTATTTGAAAGACAGAGTTATAGAGAGAGGTAGAGACAGAGAGAGA